CGCAGAGGTGGTGGCCGGCCTGCCCTATCGCTCTGTGACATTTGGGTAGCTCACCCAATCACTGCCAAAGGCCATCACTTAACCGGGGTGGGGGGTGGGGGTAGTGTACACACACGTAAACACACATAGGTAAAGGTAAAGGTTTCCCTTGCTTGAAAGCCAGTCGAATCCGACTCTAGGGTTGCGGTGCTCATCTCCATTTCCAAGCTGAAGAGCCAGCGCTGTCCAAAGACATTTCCGTGGTCATGTGGCCGGCATGACTAGACGCCAAGGCACACAGAACACTGTTTCCTTCCCACCGAAGTGGTACCTATTTATCTATTTGTAAATTCTTGCTTTTGAACTGCTAGGTTGGCAGGAGCTGGGACCAGAGATGGGAGCTCACTCCATCATGCAGCACCTGGGTCTCGAACTGCTGAACTACTGACCTTCCACAGCCTGCAGTTCAGCGTCTTAACCACTTGAGCCACGGCAGCCCCTTTTTAAACACACATACACCCAGCAAAATCAGCTAAAAACCTCTAACTAGAGATTTGGTTATTTCCAAGCAATATGTGAACTTCTCCCTTCCAACTCTTAGTATATCTATTATTTCTCTGCCCAAATTTCTCTTCACCTTCCTCCCCCTCCAACCTGTGCCCCTCTTCTAACCTATCCAGCTTCCCCTCCCTGTTCCTCCTGCCTCCTCAATGCCATTTTGTGTGATCCTCCCTCTCAAGGTTCTTCGCTCTCCGCTCTCAGGGCAGTTCCAGCAAGGGCAGCAGGAAGCCCTTAAGCCTGCCCAACCTGCTTCATCACTTCTACCACCTCCAAAGCTTGGTGCATTAAAATATAGATAGCAATTATGTCACTAGCTTTGAATGAGGGTTAAATTGTGCCATCAAAGGCTAAATTACTCACCATTTACATTGTTAAGTCTCATCAGAAGCAACAGAACGGATTAGTACAGTGAAGTCCTTTAATAGAGCAATCTGAGTTTGCTACCTAAAAAGAGAGGTGCTAGAACTCACAACCGCCTGGGTTCCTGCCCTTTTACCATCCTCCTAACCCCAGAGACATGAGCTGCCTGTGGTTATCTAGGGAGATGCACTCTGCACATACTCAAGGCACTCTCTTTACTACCCTATCATTATCATTAATAATAATTATCTTCATATATTCCCGAAACAGGTTGCCGGGGTTAAGCACTGACTCTCATTAGGATCCAAGGTGCAATTCACAAAAACCTCTTAAATTGGTATGACGACAGCTTTGGCGGGTTGTTTGTGAACAGGGGGAATGATCACACTTTAGAATTCCCCATAGATTGTAACCCGGAATAGCCAAGCTTCAGGCCACTTACTCAACAGACACAGTTGCCATGTAAATGGTTACAGCTGAAAGTTTATGGGAACCATCCATGTGAAGTGTTTGCTACGGCAATCACTTCTCATGCTGAATGAAGACTACAGAAGGGTTTAAGTGTGTTTTAAATAAGCCAGTAGTGATCTTCTATAAAGAGACAGATTTGCAAAACATCAGCGACAGTGAGCTAACATTAACACCCCCAGGACACACAAGCCACCACCACCCCCGCCATGGATGGAGTGGTTCTCCCAAAGCCATAGTAAAGGCATGGCTGGAAGGAAGTTCTGTATCTGTCTCAGTTTCAGAGATTTCCTCACCTCTCAGCACAGGAAGTTGTTGCTGTGGCTCACCTGAGGGAGTTCCTGTTATGTAGCTATGGAATGGCTTTGTTCAAATGCAGTTTTAGAGAATGAGGTAATCTTGGATACCCCTTCACAGTAGTTATTCTACTGGTGACCTGGTAGCACCTTATGATGTTATTACAGTCCCCTGGTTTGCATTTTTTTATCACAAGGAGAGAGGGGAAAAAGAAAGAGGGGAGCAGAATAATTTCAAAAGGGAAAAAAAAAGCTTCCAGATTTCCTTTGGTTACATGAAGTCTTTTCCTTTTCCATTTTATGTTAATACGCAGTTCTGGTATCTAACAGATGCAGTCTGTTCGGATGTACACAGGAGGGTGGCCCATAGAAATCGAAGGTTAAAGTATGAACTAGGATGGCCTAAAAGCCCAAAGGTTCCCTTACCAAAGGAATTTGGCCTTTTGTCCTCCGGATAAAGCTGGGGGGAAGAAAGACAAAACAAGAGATGGTGGTGGAAAGTGCCGTCAAGCTGCAGCACGGCCATCCCCGCAAGGTGTTCAAGGCAAGAGACGCTAAAGCGGTGGTTGGCCACTGCCTGTCTCTGTGTAGCAACCCTAGACTTCCTTGGTGGTCTCCCATCCAAGTTCTAGCCAGGGCCGACCCTGCTGCTGAGCTTCTGAGATCCAAGGAGATTGAGCTACCCTGGGCCACTCAGGTCAGGGCAAAACAAAGGATAGTTGTACATTATTATATACAAGCACCTCAGTGCACTCAGTGGATTTATTACCTTTTTGCACTGGTGACAAGAGATTACCGCCCCCCCCCCTTTTAACAGTCAGCTGAATTTGTACAGTTTGGTGTAGTGGTTAAGTGTGCGGACTCTAATCTGGGAGAACTGGGTTTGATTCCCCACTCCTCCACTTGCACCTGCTGATGTGACCTTGGGTCAGTCACAAGCTCTGGCACAGCTGTTCTTGAAAAAGAGCAGTTTGTGTCAGAGCTCTCTCAGCCCCACCCACCTCACAGGGCGTCTGTTGTGGGGAGAGGGAGGGAAAGGAGTTTGTAAGCCGCTCGGAGACTCCCTTGGGTAGTGAAGGGCGGGGTATAAATCCAATCTCTTCTCTTCTTCTTCTTCTTCTACATGTTGTTAGTAACAGCTCCTTAGCTCCTGATCTCCTTTCTTTGGTTTCCCTTCAAAGCCAGAACACCCCTCAGAAATTATTAAAATATCTCTATTTGGGCAGGAATGCAGCACTCAGCGAAGGAACATATGAAGCTACTTTAAATCAGGACACTTTGCAGTCTACTGTTGCTGGCAGTGGCTCTCCAGATTCTCTGCAGAGAAAAGGGTCTTTCCTCAAGCCGACCACCTGAGATAATTTAACTGACAATGCCAGAGCCTGAGTTTGGGACCTTCTGCAAGTGCTCTACCGTGGTGCCCCCATGCAGAGATATCTGAATTATTGCCTTTAACACACACGGATAACGAGTTATAAATTTAGCAAAGCAAAAACATTTTTTTTAAAAAAATCTCTTTATTTTTATGTAAATGCCAACTTTGGGATTCTGGGTTTTTCAGCATCTGGAGACAGCTGTGCTAAGGTGTTTTTTTCTTCTTCATTCCTCTATCTGGTAACATTCCCACATTAAGAACCAATGGCACAACTACCACTTAGTGGACTAGGACAACAAAGTCGAGGTGGTATGTGGGGGGGGGGGTGAAGGGAGAATCCATCTGAAACGCATCCATGGCAAACCTCTTTCAGATATTTTGAAGAAAAGCACATCCATCCTGTTGCGGACCTCCCAACATTACAGTTGCGGCTTGCTCACGAGAAGCATCATGGAATTCAAATGACTTAGCACTCATACTTGTCCAAGGTTCCTCTGTGCCTCTTGGTAGAGCAATTTAAAATAAGGGGCCCCCTCCCCCACAAAAGCTATATGAAAACACTTATTGGGATGTCCACTCCTCCGTAGGAGGGTTTCAGTTTGGTAATACAGACATCACAGTCACTCACACACACATATAATCACCATTTCTGAAAGAAGAAATAGGTGGCAGTGAAATCTAGGAGCATTCAAAATAACATTTTCAGAAAAAAATCTGCCTACACAGGCAACCAAGCCACGTGGTACTGAGTTCCTGAACCAGTACCATTTCAGACTGCACATGAAATGTTGCATGGCTGAATGCTTCCCATGTTTTAAAAATGCAGCTCCCAGCACTAGAACTAGAATAGCAGGTAGAAATCTGAGCTAGAACCCCTGCTTGTTTTGCCAGTTTTTCATGATCCAGGGGGGTTTTGACATGGGAAACCAGTCAAACATGCAAGTCCCTCTCCTGCAATGTACAATGGCCCAGGGTTTATCTGCCTGTTTAATCCACCCTGAAAATCCCTACACAGAAATGTGGCAACTTATTTTTTTAGAAAAATATATAGCATTATTTATATTCATACATTTACTTAGCATTCTATTTACTTGGTCCATATTAAATTTCTAAAGCAGTTATTAAGAGTTTGAGGGAAGAGACTTCTTTCCTTGTAGTGACAAATGTAACTCACTTGAGTTAGTGCTTTGAAACAGACACTGGTAACCAACAAGCACAAGATAACAGTATCTGGATGCCTGCTTCTATCTTTTGATAGATGACATGCAGCCATTTCAAAGTCCACATGACACAATATTATAAGAAAGCTTCCCCTTGTTTTCCACAAGGAGATATATGTATTACATGTCAAATTTTGCAGAAGCACCATAGCATATGTTATTAATGTTATCCCCCCCCATTCCTCGCCCTATCTCCACTCCCTATTCAGCTTTGTATAGCTTAGGAAAGAAATGTATTCTCCAACTATAACAAGGAGCTATTTTCAGCTGGCATGTACAGTATGAATTGGTATGTACCACAAGAGTTTTATTCTTTTATCACCACTTTAAAAAGAAGAGCATTGCTGTTTACATAATTTCCTAGCTCAGAGATGTTTGCCACTAAAAAGTCATGTTCCACTTGGCAGTACATTCCCTCACCCCAAATGGGTTCCAGTAATATGGAATAGGAGTGTGAGGAAATATATGACACCATGATGGGTTGTCGTGCATTCACTAGAGAGATGACAAGCATTTGACACTAGATTGCTGTTTTCACTGCTAACTCTGTGATCACCACTATGCCCAGTCAGGCCTAACAAGTAATAAATTCAGTACCCCACAGAGTTCAGTCTGGATCACACCTTAGTTTACACATAGCAGTCTCTTGCCACAGAAAGTCAACTAGTTAGTCATCAGTTCTGATTAAAATTGTTTTCTTTCAACACTGTCTTTCCAGTTTTCATCGTTATGAATCGCTGCCTGAGGCCTCGGCCACTGTTTAAAATGTTGGCAAGCCAGGAACAGTGTCTCTCAAAAGGCCCAAACGTGGGCAGATGACTTGCTGAGACCACTCACTTTATTAGCTCTGACCAATCAAGAGAGACAAAAAAGGGATGAGATTTGATTTCTTCAACTCCAGCAACTCCAGCGCCAAGACGCTCCACCGCATTAAACTGCAAAAGCTTAAAACAAAAAATACAGATATTAAGGAGGACACTTTAGGGAATAATGGAATGCACCAAACATGCTAGACAGTCAGAGGATTGCTTTATTCTTTTCTCCCAAAAAGTAAATATACTCAGTTCCTTAAATTTTGGGGTCTTATTAAGTGTCTCCAGTTCCTTTCTTTCCCATTGTTCTTCTTTGAACCCTTTTCCCCCAGCCTGTCAATACACTCTAAACATCACTTCATGTGTTTGAGGGGTTTAGAATGCATTCGTATCATATAGACCCCTGAACCTTTCCTGACTTGATTTTCTACCAGTCCACATCTAGTGTTGTACACTTCTGGTACTTTTCCCAGAGCATGACATTTAACATATGTCACCATTAAGATTCATTTTGTTGGTACTGTCTCACTCTTCAGGCCATTTAACATACTCTGTGGCAGAAAATCCAAGTTTGCCATCAAGTGTATACTCAACCAACAGACACTACCAATCCCAGCTCTCCAGTGGGCATACTAGCTAAGATCAACACGTCTGCAAACACAATTGTCATATTTACACTTTACATTTTTAGGCAAACATTTAAAGCATCTTTGGTGCACACCTAAAAATATAACATATGACGAGTCTCTGAGAACCTTTAAAAAACTCGGGACTCTTGAAACACTGGAACAGCTGATTGCCACTTATTAAAACTAAGTAGCTTGTTTGCTTTGCTCTGAAAAAAATCTACAATCTCTCTTCAAAAAAGAGGGCTGGATACATGCAGAAAGCAAAGCGGGCTCTTCACATCTGTGGGTTTGGATAGAGAATGATTACTTGAAAGGGGGGTAACCAGAAAAGAGGCATGAAAATATTTACCAAGGATAAAAAGCCCAAGTTTACATTCTGCTGTCTTATGAGAATGTCACAATCTAAATATACAGTTCAAAAGAATAATTCCATTTCTAGGTTTCCTCTACTGACTACAGCATAATGCAGCTCCCGACATCCAATTGTCATTTAGGAGTACTCTATATTCTCCTTTGGCACATATGTTCAAATGCCTACACCCAATAATCAAAGTGAGAAATTCCCCATAAAATGTATTCATTTGCACATCTTAAGTTGGCTCCACCACTTAAAATCTCACTTGGTAACGATAACTCAAATAGCAAAGCAAACTCCTTGTGAATATACATGAGCCGGCAGATAAGCAGTCAGAGAGACAGTCGCTCTGCAGTCCTCTGGAAATATAACAAGTGACAGCAGGTGGGGAAGTTAAGTGCAAAGAAATTTATGTTCTGAAGGTTTCCCCCTTTGCAAGAAAAAGAACTTTAATCTCCAAAAGCAAATGCAGAATAAATTGCACTAGATCTACATTGTTAGAAAACATGCTGGATTATTATGCTAGCTGGGACAACCTTTGAAAAAGAGAGTGTAGACAGAATGGCAGTGAAGAAAACCTTAAAAACTTCATCTAATCCTTCGGCAATCAAAAATAAATAATAAAAAGCCTCTGAATTATGGAAGACTTAGTCAGTTAGGTGTTTGGAGCGGGTAGGGAAGAGAGAGATTTAAAATGAGGTCACCAGTTTGGAAGCCGTGTCACAAGACACATTTGGCATCCATCTGCACACTGTTCCTCTCCTAGGCATTTAGTGGTGGGCTGACCCATGCAACCTAGGCTGAAGAGGAAAGTCGTAATGACAAATGACTAGCCATGCCAAGAGCCCCCTTTTCCTTTTCCTGACAAAGCTTCCTCAACAATGAATGGTCGTTTCCTTGGCTAGACACAAAACAGAAGGTTGATTTACTAGCCAATGGGGGCAGACCCTTCAACCTGAAAGTTGTCCACGTGCAGCCTAGGACTGGAACGCTTCCTTTTGGACACGGGTGCCTTTGAACTTGGAAGGAGGGAAACAAGCAAATGGCTTGCTTTGAGCTCTCAGGGGAGTTAAAAGGGCTCAGCGTTGCTGCAATAAAATTCTCCACATTGTCAGTGGTAAAATTCCATTCATTTTCAACACCTTTGGAAAAACAAACAAACAAACACACAGCCTGCCTTCTGTGAGATTAAATACCAGACAAAGTTTGTTTCATGATCCTGACAGTACGTGACTATAAGTTATTATGTTCTGTTACAGCAGACAGGCCCTTGGATTTGGGTCACCTACACTGGAGGGCTAGGTTGAGAGAATGAGCATGTTCTACCAGGCCAGGGCCGGGGCAGGTTGAGGCTAAACGGACGTCCCTCGGGCCGGGGGGAAACCAGCAGATCTTGCTCAGCAGAGCACAAGGCTCTCCGGGGCACACACAGGGAGAGGTGGTCCCTTCGGTATGTTGGTCCCAGGCCACACAAGGCTTTGAAGGTCAATACCAACACCTTGTAGCGGATCCGGTACTCAATCGGTAGCCAGTGCAATTGGCATAGTGCTGGCTGAATGTGTGCCCGCACAGGCAGCAGGCACACTCCTGGATCAACCGCAAGGGCAAGGAAGTTACAGTAATCAAGCTTGGAAGTGGCCATTGCATGGGTCACTGTAGCCAGGTCCTGGGGGGAGAGGTATGGAGCCAGCTGCCTGATCTGCCGGAGATCATGAAAGACATATCAATCCCTTGTCTGTACTTTTTACCACAAGCAAAGACGCTGGGAAACTGCAGCCTGTGTGCACAACATCTGTACAGATTAGGGAGGAAAGGCCCAAGAGCTCTTCCCAAGTCTTGAGTCATATGGGAGTGAGTCAGGGGATGTAGTATGTGTCACCAGCCTTTGCCCAACTGAAAATACAGCCCCTGTTGAAAATTTGTTGCTAATAAGGGGACCTATGAGTGATACTCATTGGCTCAGGAGCCAATGTGGCTCTTCAGCATGCCACCTGTGGTTCTTCTGAGCACTGTTCCCCAATGTGACACCTGCCCAATGTCAAGAAAATAGGCAAGACCTTGCAGTGGGGCTTGTGGCGAGCAGATGGCTCCCACCCAGAAACAGCTGCCACCAGGGGAATGGATAAGCTGCGAGGCTCCTTGACGTGCAACTGAAAATCCAGCTCTCCGCAAGCCATGCAGTGAGTACCGCTGAGAGCCAGGCATGTAAGTACAAGTCCTAAACACACATTCTTTGGGAATGTACCTGCTGAAGGAGTGATCTTGCCTCTTCTGATATGTGATCTGGCACGTTCAAGGTAGTGTGAGTATTGATTCCTGCCGGATGGCACTCCACCAGAGTCTACAGCAAACCAAATCAGAAACATGATATGTTACTAAGACATACAGCAGTACAGAAGAAGGGTATGCTCTTACTGTATTCATATGGCACATTTTACTAGGCTAATGGTAACCATTTATAATTTGTTTTAAGAATACTATGAAAAGGTGTCCCATCATATCTGTCTTTCCATTCTATTTATTTTTGCCCAGCCCTTCTTCTGAGGCTGCATAGTTCTATTCATAATACACTAGCTGTTATTACATTGTGCTGAATACAAAAACTAGTCACAATTTGGCACCATCTGTAGCAATTAAATTGCCCTGATCACATGCCCCAAATGGAAATAGTCACTTGTGCAACTTCCGGCCATCCAAGCACCTGTAAAGCTCTACAGTGCCACATACCTCCATCTCAGGTTTCCATTTCCACTGGATGTTTATAGGTATCTTCTCACTCCTTTACACAAGGAGGGATTCCTGGAGCCTTCTGTGGCTCCTCTTTACTGGCATGGGCTTTGCACAGGCAAATATTTCAATCAATCATAGAATCACAGAGTTGGAAGGGACCTCCAACCCCCTGCACAATGCAGGAAATCCACAAATACCTTGCCCCCCTCCACACCCCCAGTGACTGCTGTTCCACGCCCAGAAGATGACAAAAAAACTCCAGGATCTCCAACCAAACTGACCAGGAGAAAAAATGCACCATCTCCTTCCACACGTTCTTGTGTATAAACTTCGGCCATCGGGCAGCCCTCTGCTGGCTGTCCCACCATTTAAGGTGGCCCGTCTGGCATCGACCAAAGCCCAGGCCCTTTCCCCTCATGGCTCTGTCTCTGTGGAATGGGCTCTCTGAAGAGGTGAGCGGGGGGGAGGGGGCCCTCCTTGGAGATCTTCAGGAGAAACTCCTTTCATTTATTAGCTTCATTGACCCAGAGGTCTTAAGCCAAACGTACATTCTTCAGGAGAAACTGAAAGGCCTGCCTGTTTGTGAGGGCTTTTGAGAGTTCTGAATGGCAGGCATCTTTTAACAGGGGAAGGGGCGGGGGGGGAGATTTGGGGTCAGCTATTTTATTTTTGGTCTTAAACTATTATCATAAGCCACCAAGCCATGTGCAAAGGCGGGATAGCAATGTTTTAATAAAATAAATAAACAAACAAGAACCAACAGGAGATAAGCAGGAGATCTGCTGGATTAGGGGGCTCCACTCTCTTACCTCCCTAATGGAAAGATCAGCTGCAGCCCTTTCCAATCTACTGGCGTGGCGGAGGGGATGCGCTGTTCCAAGCAGCAGACTTAGTACATCACTGGAAACACCTGTTTGTACCTATTGTTATCTCGCCATTCTTCCATGGTTCTCCCTTCCCCACTGTATCCTCACAGCAATTGTGTGAGGCAGGCTAGGGTGCATTCAGTGAGTTTCATGGCTGAGTGTGCAGTTGAACCCAGGTTTCCCTCACCCTAGTCCCACTGCTACACCCCACTGGCTCTTCCCAGCAAGCCAGATTTGCAAAGGCCACAGCAGATGTGCCAGCAAGGAAGGACTCCCTTTATAATGAGAAGACAGAACATCAGCTAGCAGATCTGAGGTTCCAAATAGGCCCTCCAAGTGACTTTCAAAATTAATCCATTTTTGCTACAGCTTGTTTTGTTTTACCTGTCCTCCACTTTCCTGGAATTTCACAGAACTCGAAATGAGAAGAATGCAGAGAGAGAGAGAGAGAGAGAGAGAGAGAGCGCACCTCTTCTGGATCAGACCAGAGATTCATCCAGTCCACCATTCTGCCTCCACCTACAGCTAGCGAGAGGCCTTTAGAAATCCCACAAGCAGGGCATGAAGGTGACAACACTTTCCCCAAAGTAGCAAAGAGTTAAAAATGTCTTGACCCCATATGTTACATTTCTGAAGCAAATAGATCTGATCCATTCATTGCCCTGAGCAATACGTTTTGTAGGTTGAACCCTACCAGTATGGCCTATCCTGAACCAGGTTAATATTGTCAGCATTACCCAAAGCCTTACTTCGCCACCATAAGAACAATCATATGTGATAACCGCTAAAGGATGCAGCACCAGTTCCTCCGAATGCCTTCAACTGCTGAATAGTTCGGGGTGGCACAGATGTTTGCATCCTGCATCTTTAAACACAATTACTCTAAATAAGACATCGAAAGTTTCTCCCAATGTTCAGTACTCTCTCTCCCTCTCTCACTAAATCACTATCAGCAACACCTACCTTCCCTGTAAGGAGTTCAAAGAGAAGGGCACCCAGACTCCACCAATCACATGCTTCTGATTCTTCAAAGACAGCTCCAACTTCTGAATAGAAGACATTTGCAATTAAAATTCAAAGGTCAGATACACCTTCAAACCTGCCTTTACAAGGAGACTCTTCAATGCTGATGGAGCATATCTGGAGCTATTATGCCCTCTAGCCCACCCTAGTGCATGCTGCTTTTGTCAGTGGAGCCACACAGCACCACATTCAAAATCTGGAATGGCAGCAAGGCCTCTCTCAGCACTTAATATTTGTTCCCCTCTACCACAGTCCTGCCCCATATACTGCTGCTGCTTTGAAATTTGGGGAGGAGCCACCTGCACCATCTCCCCTGGACATTATTTCTGCTGAGGAGCCCCTGCTCAACAAAAATACAACTCCCTCTGCATCTTGGGAGTCAGGACCCTGCCTGACAGCCTCTCTCAATGTCTTGGAGGGTGGATGGAGCTGGGAAAAGGAAACGAAATTTGAGCTTCTTGGGTGCTCATGAGGAAGTGCTCATAGGTGCTCAGCAATAAGGCTGTCAAGAGGGTGTCTGCTGTAACTGTCAGAGGGCAGCCCAAATCAAAAACTAAACCTCATGGAATCTGGTATAGATATTGCTTATTGTGGAATCTGGGCCTGATTAGGAATGGAACAGAAGTGAATTCTGGGAGGAGGGGGCCTCCCTAAGCATGGGGTAAGGCAGTGGCCTAACTGCACAGGCGAAGATGAGAAGACAAATGGTGCAAAGGAGGAGGAGGAGGAGGAGGAGGAGAAGGAGAAAAAGGAGGAGGAGGAGGAGGAGACTGGATTTATACCCTACCCTTCACTACACAAAGGAGAGCAGTTTACAATCTCCTTTCCCTTCCCCTCCCCACAACAGACACTCTGTGAGCAATGCTCCCTCTAAGCTGTGGAGTCCTATGAGCAAAAATTCTACTTTGTGAGCTACTGGCATTAAAGTTGTGAGCGAGTGATTTGGCTACTGCATAAATTTTGCTCTGGGGCCATCCTTCCTGAGCTGAGCCGGAGGCTAAAAAACTGTGAGCTAGCTCATACTAACTCAGCTTAGAGGGAACACTGCCTGTGAGGTAGGTCGGGCTGAGAGAGCTCTTTTGAGACCTGCTTGTGAGAGAACAGCTCTGAGAGAGCCAGCATTGACCCAAGCTGCATGTGGAGGAGTGGGGAATCAAACCTGGTTCTCCCAGATTAGAATCTGCGCTCCTAACAACTATACCAAACTGGCTCTTTAAGGAGTCTTTAATGGTTGTATAACTTCCAAGCGAGGTCAGTTTGACTCTTAATTCACATGAAGAATTTTGTGTGATTATGTAATATATAACAGGGTATTAATGCTGATCTTGTTGTTTCCATAAAAATGGTTTAATGTGAATTGCACTCTGTACATGCTCTGTGAAAATCTTCTGTGTTCTAAGCAATGTTTTAATTGTTTTTAAATCAGTACTAAATGTAATTTTTATATTTGTATCATTTGGCAGATCCCCCAACAAAGCTGTTGCAAAATGTGTAGGGGTTATACAACCATTAAAGGCTCCTTCCTTTTGTACCATTTGTTTTCTCATCTTCGTTTTGCCTTGGTGGACCCCCCTTTTTTTGGCTAACTGCAAAGACCACATGAATCAATCCCTCCCTGCTGCAGCCACCACCAAGGACTCATCCAGAGAGCACAGCGGGCAAGGCTCTGGGTGCTTCTGTATATCAATGGTGCCTGTAACATTCAGCATCTGTATGAGCCTTGTAGGACCACTTGAGTACTTTTAATGTAGTTTCTGCAGCTCATCTGCCTTCCATTCTGCAAGACCTAGCAGTAGAACACCAATATACCTTACTCTTGCTGGTTATATTTTCAGATACAAATATAAACCCTATTACTACTCGTGATTTTATTAATTTAGTAGCATAACTTAGAAACCAAAGCTCTGTAAGAGTTCTGAAGTACACATAGTGTCCACTTAACCAGGGTGAACATTTACCCTCATGAAGATCCCAGCCCCACAGGAAAACCATGGAGTAGCTTGTTCCACCAAGCCATATGTTGATAGCAGTCTTACCCATCCTATAGATGGGCAGTATAGCACCCAGACAGAAAAAGAAGCCCGAGCACCTATCATATAATATCGCTCCAAATATCATGAGTACAACACACTGCCTGGCCCAGAAAGGACTCCAAAGGGGATGCCAGTTCGAAGACCAGCCTGGACAACTGTTTGGAAGTGAACCAAAAGGCTGACTTGTAAACAACCCTCTCCCACCCTAAAGTAATGCATAATTTACAATGGGTTTTTCAGGAAGACCTCACCTTGAATTAACCTCTTTCATCCCCAATCCTGCTTCTCTCCCCTTTTACATATTTACCCTTGTTAGCATATCCATTCCACCTAGAGGTGCACCCATCCTGTACTTCCGGAGGTCCTATCCCCAGGAGAGCCATCAAACTCTGCTCAATCCTTTGATCTCCCTCTGGGAGAGCCATCAAAGCTTTGTTGGGTTCAGTGTTTGCGTGTGTTCTCAGCTCCTACATCACACCCCCACTTGTCCACTCTCATGTCCACAATCTTCTCCACAGACCTCTGATCTTCTAGACTGGTAAATATCACCCTTGAACCCCCCTCATTTCTCCCCACTCCTTCCTGTTTTTCTTAGCAAGCTTGTGTGTTTCCCCATGTGCTTAGTGGGTATGTTTTATCCTTTAATTATTTTTAATAAAAACCTTATCAGTTGAACACCTGGCTGATTTATTCTGAGAGTTCTGTAAGGGAACAATCCTGATACACATTGATGGAGATCCCAGTTACCCCCCCCCCTTCATTGTGTCTCCAATGAAGCTAATTTCCCCAATTAAATAATGAGACTACCAATTTGGGTAACAAGACTACCAATTTGGGTAACAATGTCCCCCGAACCTTTTTGTCATCTTCCAAGTAGAGGCAGGGAAACTCTCTTAACCATGGTTTGCTCAGTAGAGACGTAATCATGGTTACTAAACCTCATTGTAGTCCATCTTTAACCCTGGTTTAAGCATTTAGATGTAGTACTTGACCAAGCTTACATAAGGCCAATATGGCGAAGAACTCTGTGTATGCAATGGAGATGCCTAAGCAAAGTAGTTTCCAATATCAAAGCTTTTTATGTGGGAGTTGGACAGGGGCTACTGTCGCTTGTGACTTCTCACTCTTTTCTTCTAAATAACCACAGGCCTAATTAGGGCAGCATCACCCTTGAAATTTTTTAGACTGAGAAAAGCCAGGTGTTCTGCACCACTCAGAAGTTTCCTCCCATATCATATTTGGAATATATTAAGAAGAATAATCTGCCTGGAGAAATAGTGGTTAGATTCTCAAAAAGACATGTGAGGGACCAAATCTCGAAAACAGCATCAGGAATACCCCTGAAAATCAATGGGAATACCATATGGATACTAAAAGACATTCCATTTGAGATTAGAAAGAAGAGGAAGAAATTCAAAGACTTGGCATTGTTTCTACAAACAAACAACATACAGTACAAATGGTTGGTTCCCAAAGGCCTACTCTTCAGAATAAATGGGAAAAAAGAAAGAATTGACTCTGTTAAGAAAGCAAATGAGTTCTTGAAGCAGCAACTGGGAAGGTCCGGAGAAGATGACAAAGATGAAGACCAGGATAGAGAAAGCGGTTAAAACTCTTCTTCAACTACCAAGGAGGACTCTGATTCGGAGTTGGGGGCTGCGGCCCCCAAAAGAGACTATGATTTGAGGGGGGGGGGAAATGCCAAGAAATGAGATGCGGAGGAACTCTGAATTCCACCTTTAAGAAGCTACATTTAAGTTTGATGCTTTTGTGACTGCCTTAAACAGTAATTGATATCGGGTTTTGGGGAATATTGGCTAGATTTAAACATTCAAGCTCATTGTATTATTAATAGATTAGACTAATCATTTTATAAGCTTATGTAATGATCTTCACTACTTGGGGTTTTAGTGGTTAACTTTCCTTTCTCCCGTAGATATTAGATTCCCTTTCCTATTTTCTTTGTAGTTTATAGAAAAGCAATTAAAAAATCCCCTTAGGGGGGCCAAAAAAAAAAGTTTCCTCCCATGCGTTTTAAAGCACAGTTGCTCCCATCAGACAAATACATGGTCTAGACCACACCGTGTGGTTTTGTTGTCCTGTGTGAGCAGGGAAAGCTGCATTCAAATGCAAGTCTCTCTGTACAAACAGCCACTTAATTCAGAAGTTCAGTTTCTAAAGAGCCAAAAGCCACTGCTCACCAAAACATAAGTTCTGCTAACAGCCTGATCCAATGCTTGTTTACTTAGAAGCAAATCCCACTGTTCAGCGAGGCTTACTTTCAAATGGGCATGCATAGGATTGCAGCCTAGAAATTGCTTTGGCCAAATCACTTTTCATTTTCCTCTCCCACTTTCCAATATCCACCCCCCCCCCACTCCTGCTGTTCTGCCTTTCAAAGAGGTTTTCCTTAATGAAGAAAAAAGTTGCATGTAAATATTTTGCTGTCTATTCTGCCTTCCCTTGGAACGGGTCTCTCTGCAACCTATTGACAGAAATAAGGCTCAAGATGTCACATCAATAAGGCTACCTCTACTCTCCACAATACATCCCGAGGGGGGGGGGATTTAAGAACTATACATCGTGAAGTGCTTTCAAGTGGTGCACAGTCCAGTCAGCTAATGTAATACCGCATGGTGAAAAAATGCTCTCCCTCCTCCAACCCCCCCTCCAAAGACATTAATATTGCAGTCAATGTGAACCCAAATACCTGTTTCTCAATAATGAAGTCATTTCATTCGCATCCATCAGCCAAGTCTTTTACACAACACAATGGCAGTGACCCCTGAGCCTAAGCGACTAGTGGCTTTTCTATCATGGCAATTCTGCATTATGTAGTGGAAAATAGTTGGGCTCCAGATCAGTTCTTTGCATTGTCCCTGCTAAAGTGTCTTATTTGTGCTGCATATACAGTGGCAGTGCCTGGCATCACCCAGGCATAACTCGCTGAAGTGCTGGTTGGCATGTTTCCAGAATGAAAAATATCACCA